GGATTTTTTCCCCCATTTTGTCTCTCATAGTTGAGGTATACCTATGATGAAAATTACAGGCCTCTCTCATCTTTTTAAGTGGGAGAACTTGCACAATTGGTGGCTGACTAAATACTTTTTTGCCCCACTGTAAATCTATCCTTCAATAGAAAGACAGAGACTGGCTCTCAAAACAAAAAATTACTATAATAAAACCCAAGCAGTTTTCAAAATTATAGCAAACTGTTGCAACATATAATCAAACAAAAACAGAGTTAAAAATTACAAGAATGATAAAACAACAGTAAAAACCTTAAAGCACTCATTCAGGTATGTTAACAAGAGGACACTGATTAAGAATCAAGGGATCATGAAGTCCAGCATAAGAGGCTTCAAGGAAAACTCCAGGGATAACAGAACAGCCCTAGTTCTTTGGTGCTGTTGCTTTCCACTCAGCAACTGATATTGGGACATACTGAGAATGGTGTCATCAAAATGAATAGCTGGTGATAAGTCTATCCACCATGTTCTCTCTTTTAAAGAAAGCTGTGGTAGGTATATGACTCTGTTTAACGATGAAACCAATTACCCAGAAAAGTGAAGACTCTTCACTGGATGTATTCAAGCAAAGACTTGACAGCCATCTATCAAGAATACTTTAGTTTGTATTCTAATAAAAAGCAGATAGAACACCTGTTTTCTAGTTGCATTATAGCCAAAGATGTGCTGAAACTCTGAGATCCATATGGCTCCTACCCTGATGTGGTTCTAGAAAGCCTTAAAGATCTGCTTATGTACCCAGGGCTTAAAGTAGGGGGGATGGGACTCTCCTGATGTGATGTTTTCTGTTTGCTTTGTTGTTGGATTGTCATCTTGTGATTATTTTGTAGTTATTTTTACATTTCTGGTTGTTACTTTTTTGTATTTTGCTGTTTCTAATGTTTTTTATTGTGATCCACCCACAGTTGGGTGGTACCCAAACTGAATAATATCAATCAATCCATGAGGGCCAATATGCTGCAGTGATGAAGGTAGTAGTGTAGTACAGAGAAATATAGGTTCCAGTCCACTCTTAGCCTTGGAAATGCACTGTCTAACTTTGGGCCAGTCAACATTTTTAAAATTCAGAAAGGCTTAGTGTATAGAGCACAGTAGGCTTCCTTTCTACCTTAGGGCTCACATGGTATTCTCTAGACCACTTAATACTGTAACCCTGAGTACACATTTGGGTGGTTCTTATTCAAGAGGGAATATGGAATAAGAATCATTCTTCTGTGCATAGTGTCAAAAACAAGTAACAGATGAATAATCCAACTTACATTCAGGGACATGAACTGGAAGGGCATTCTTTTCCGCTTCTACTGCCATGAAGGCAAACTGTTTTGCCATTTGTCTCTCTCTGAGCCTGCAACATTAAAGTGTGCTGGGCATGAACTTCTTGGTTTTTAAAAAATTATTTCAGTTAATTTGTATGTCACCTACTTGAACAACTCTAGGTAACTTATAGCCTGCATACATTAAAACATCCATAACATCAGTAAAACATTCAGATCTTTAAAAATATCTGTTGTGGTCTTCCATTAAAATCTCTCTCCCTAAATGCCTTGTGGAAGGGAATGGTTTTAACCTGTTTCCTAAAGGATAATGGATGGGCCTGACCTCATAAGATAAGCTATTACAAAGTGAGAGGGCTGTCAGTGAGAATGCCATTCTCCGGTTCTCCCTCCCCCCCAACTCTGTAGGTATAGGCACCCATGACAACAAGATCATAGGTAGTGAGACTAAAGCTACATAGGACTTTTGGGTTACAACCTGCACCTTGATTTGGGCCCAAATGTCTGCTGGCAGCCAGTTCAGCTCTTGAATAGAAGTTATTCTACTAAGCTGGTTAGTGCTGGTCAGAAGGCAAGGAGCTGCATTTTGTGTCAACTGCACCTTCTGAACTGTCTTCAAGGACAGACTAACACCCACAGTCTCATTAAAATAAAACAATGGAATTGAGTCACTGTTTTCAGCACCTCCTGATTCAGGAACAGGTGCAACTGGCTTGATGAAGCTGGCCAAAAACTCTCCTGGACTTGGCTTCCACTGGATATTCCACAGAAGCTGTGAGTCCAGGAGAACCCCAAAATTGCATACCAACTTTTCAGGGGAAGTGCAATCCTATCTGGAGCAATATATGGAACCAGAGGGCTTCTGCACCAATAGTACCACCATCTTGCTAGGATTAAATCTTAGTCTGTTTTGTACATCTCAGCCTGGATCAGGACTCTCCACTGCATTTCCTCCTCAGCCTGAGATATAATCTGGGTATCATCAGCATATTGATGATACTAGACCCTACATGGGGGAGAAGGCTGAGTGGAGTGGCCAAGGGCTTGACCTCTTCTTCCCCAGCAACACTCTAAGAGCTCTAAATGTTCTTTGGCTGCTTCACATAACTATGACTAAAAAAAAGAAGCTTTTCTACTTCATTTTTATCTTTTTCCATACCATATTTTCTTTAACAACAATGATCATTAGAGTTTCACTATATGTGTAAGTTTGGTTAAGCCTTAATTAGTTGGACCAGATCTTCTGCATTGATAATACTTATCATAAGCCCAAGAAACCCATAGGTAAGTTAAAGAAGTTCATGATAAAATAATTCCCATCCACCCACATATATTCCCTCAAAGATTTCTCTACTGGATTATGGGACCTCGTCTCTGAGGGAGGAGATATGGTTAAAGTTCCTTAGATGTGCATCCTTAACTTATTGTAGGATCCCAAGGCCTACATCTTGTATTGAACTGGAGAGTCATCTGTCTTTCAGGTAACTTTTGGGGAGTTCATTTAAGCTTCAGGAAGAGAAGATTGAGGGAAATTTTCCTTTTCTGAACCTTGTTAACTCATGATGGAATAAAACTCAATGTAATTATATTTCCTCCCCACTTCCTTTCTTGTTCCTTGCACTGCAAATCATGGTTTAAATTGGCCCATTTTGTGGGGATAAGAGCTACCCAACCTTTAAGCTGTATACTGTAGCTTGCATTCCAAAAAGTAGTAAGTGAAGCTAGAACAAAAATGAAATTTAAATTAATTAAAATTCAACATAGTTAATATTATTCTTTAGCTAGGTAATTAGCAATTTCCCCTCTTCTGTCACATTGTACATTAAATTTTGTAACAACTTCTAGAGATCTCTGCAGGAAGTATGCAAAACTTTCAGAACTGCAGGTAACCTTGAGGCCTCAGATTTCATTGTTCCCAAAGTCATCTTATGGGCTCAAATATGTTATCACCCAGTTTGCCATACCTTTGTTGAGCTCTTTCTTTGGCCTGTTGTCGCTCAGCTTCACTTCCATGGGCCTGATGAGGGCCAATATCAATCATCTCCATTTTCTTTGCATAGCGTTTTTTTTCATTGACAATGAACTCTTGAAGCTCTCGGTATTGCTGGCAACAGAAAAACTGGAAAGCAAAGGTCCTGCTCTAACCAGCTGGGCAGGTGGACCTTGGACCCGATGGAAGACCATTAGGAGAATGTGTTCTCATTACTTACATTTCCCCATTCTGCTATGTGTTCCAGACTTTCAAAGGAAGGGAAGTACCTCGGGGGGCTGCCACAGAATTCACAGGTTTCTGGATATTCCTTCTGAACCTGCAGAGAAGAAAGTGGGAGAGACGGCATTTTGGAAAACCTTGTAATATTTATCAAGACCAAAATTATAGGATTCATAATCTGGGTTGACATGGGGTGACCTACTATTTCTCCTCACTGCCCACCCAATTATCAATAGAGGGAAGAAGTTAATTATACCCACTCCCAGACTGGAACAGTCTTCCCTAAAATACCCCATTCTGGCTCCCCACATCAGAACATTCTGTCCCTTCAGAGGGAGGTTGCTGCTGCTGCTGCTATTTCTCTTCACTGGCTAGGTGAAGCAATGACATTGGAAATTAATGCAGATTTGGTGCTTGCTTTGGGGTGAATTTCAGCCATTTAAAGTGTGCTAAGCTTTTTCAAAACTTAATGGTCAAAACTGGCTGTGATTCAACCACAAAAGGGCCACTGAATTTTGATAGCAAAGAGGGCTCTGGAGGTTGCAAAACAGGCTTTTGGGCTGCTTGCAACTTACTCTTGCAGGAGGAAAGTGGGTATCTCCCCTGCTCTGTGCCCACACTTCTATATCACCCTGGGATTTCTTAGCTGGCCTTCTTTGGAACCCAGGTTCACTGATGGAATTTTTTACAGCTGAAATGCAACTAGAGTAAAAAGTGACCTGCCTTTTTTATATGTACTCAGTGCTTTTTCCCAATCTAAGTACCTTCCAGGGATGTGGATTTCAACTCCCAGATTTTTCAGCAAAGGCCATGCTGACTGAGAGTTAAAGGATACCCAGGCTGGGGAAAGCTATCTTTAAATATGCATACATATAAAGGTACTGTTTTAAATGGCATTACAGAGAAATTGTACTTTTTATGTTCTATTTCAAATAAGTTTTTGGTTTTATGCCTCCATATGCAACTGATGTTACTGAATATGGTTTATCCATATTGTTAATGGCTTTGAGCTTGTAAAGGAAGTGAGGTATTCTGATAGAAGCCTATGATTTTTTGCAGCCACCTTTCCTTCACACCAGCATGAACCTGTCATGGATGTGACTAGGTGCAGAAACTACACAGTGATGGATATCCTGTCCCCGTATCTTATTGAAACAAAACACAGAATAAATGTGCATTTCATCAGCACATATATAACACATGGGTGGAATGACCAGAAAATGTACATATGTCTTAATATACAACCCTACTCTTAGTTACAGATTATTGTAAGCATCTCTGAGTATAAAGCAGGGAAAACAGGGACCATAAAATTCACCGGACACAACACTACAGTAGGTAGTTCAAAGTAATGGATGACTGGGCGAGTGGGAAGAGCCTCGTTTTAAGGACTCTGGATTATTACCAATGCTTGAAGAGTGATGGCAGATCATTTGGGCATAAATGTTTCAGTCTTCACTTAAAATGGTATCAGAAAATGAGCAGTGACTTGGCTTTGCAGTGTTTTCCGAGAGAAGGAAAACAGACTGTAAAAGTTTAGCATGTTACTACTGTAATATATCAGCAGGAGGTAATATTAAAGTTGGGAGGATTGTCATGAATGATAAATAGACCACATGTACATTGAAAGTTTAAAAGACTGGCCATCTCATTCACTTACAACTACAAGGATTGAGAATTCCATTTACTGAACAAAGATGAAGTTTAAAGGAAAGTTGCATGGCTAATTAGGGAAGGAAGCTGGGACAGAGTAGAAAATGCTTTTGCTTGTCCAAAGAATAATGTAAAAGAGTTTCTGAAGGAAAAGCACAAAAACTGGCCTATTTTATTAGTTATTCAGCATCATAAAGACATACTTTTATGTTGACATTTTAACAACAGTGCATATGTGGACAAATTATATTTTGAAGGAACTATGCCAGGCTGGGGACTCTAGCAAATATAATGAATTTTTAAAACATAAGGCAAGCTTCCAAGACTTTATCATTAGGGGAAAAAAATTATTTTTTCAGGATAAAGGGACCAATTGTATAGGGCTATCAAATGCAAGGATAGCAAATCTTTTTGGAAACTTACTTCGAGC